AATCCATTCAGTGACTCTGTGTCTTTTGATTTATACATTCGGTCCATTTATATTTAGGGTGATTATTGATAGGTATGTACTTACTGCCATTGCAGGCTTTAGATTTGTGGTTACCAAAGGTTTAAGGTTAATTTCCTTTCTATCTAAGAGTCTAAGTTAACTCACTTAATATGCTGTTACAAACACAATCTAAAGGTTCTTTTCTTTTTCTCCTCCTTTTTCTTCCTCCTCCATTCTTTATATATTAGGTATCATTCTGTATTCTTTGTCTATCCCTTTATTGACTTTGGGGATAGTTAATTTAATTTTACATTTGCTTAGTAATTAGTTGTTCTACTTTCTTTACTGTGGTTTTATTTCCTCTGGTGACAGCTATTAAACCTTAGGAACACTTCCATCTATAGCAGTCCCTCCAAAATAGACTGTAGAGATGGTTTTTGGGAGGTAAACTCTCTCAGCTTTTGCTTATCTGGAAATTGCTTAATCCCTCCTTCAAATTTAAATGATGATCTTGCCTGATAAAGTAATCTTGGTTCCAGGCCCTTCTGCTTCATTGCATTAAATATACATCATGGCCACTGCCTTCTGGCCTGTAAGGTTTCTGCTGAGAAGTCTGATGTTAGCCTGATGGGCTTTCTTTTGTATGTGATCTTGTTTCTCTCTCTGGCTGCTTTTAATAGTCTGTCCTTATCCTTGGTCTTTGCCAATTTTATTACTATATGTCTTAGTGTTGTCTTCCTTGGGTCCCTTTTGTTGGGAGATCTGTGGATCTCCATGGCCCAAGAAACTATCTCCTTCCCCAGATTGGGGAAGTTTTCAGCAACTACTTCCTCAAAGACACTTTCCCTTTAGACACTTTCTATCCCTTTCTCTCTCTCTCTTCTTCTTCCAGTATCCCTATAATACGAATATTGTTGCGTTTGGATTGGTCACACAGTTCTCTCAATATTCTTTCATTCTTAGAGATCCTTTTTTCTCTCTGTGCCTCAGGTTCTATGTGTTCCTCTTCTCTAGTTTCTATTTCATTTATCGTCTTCTCCACCGTATCCAACCTGCTTTTAATACCTTCCATTGTGCTCTTTAACGATTGGATCTCCGACCGAAATTCATTCCTGAGTTCTCGGATATCTTTCTGTGTACCTCCATTAGCATGTTGATGATCTTTATTTTGAACTCTCTTTCAGGAAGAGTCATAAGGTCCATGTCATTTAAATCTTTCTCTGGAGTTTTATTAATTTTACTCTGGACCAGGTTCCTTTGGCGTTTCATATTTGTATATGGTGCCCTCTAGTGTCCAGAAGCTCTACCCCTGTTCAGCTCCTGAAGCAACGTTGGGGGTCTCAGGGGAGCTGTGTTGGTGCCTTGGGGGAGAAAAGAGCTGTTTCCTGCTTCCCAGCTGCTATGCCTGTCTCCACTGCCTGAACTGGTGGGCCGAGCACACAGGTATAAGCTTTTGTTCCAGAGCAGCCGGATATGGATCCCTTTCCACAAGCGGCTGGAATCCCAGTCTCCCCAGGAACTCTACCTGTCCCAGCTTTCCAACCCTGTAATCACGAGAGTATGATGAAAGCACCATGAAATGTGGGTTTGTGCTCCCAGAGCAGATCTCCGGAGTTAGGTATTCAGCAGTTCCAGGCTTCCAGTCCCTCCCTGCTCCATTTCTCTTCCTCCCGCTGGTGAGCTGGGGTGAGGGAAGGGCTCGGATCCTGCAGAGGCACAGCTCTGGTATGTTACCCTGTTCCGTGAGGTCTGCTCTTTTTTCGAAGTGTATGCAGTCTGGCGCAGCCCTCTTTCCTGTTGCTCTTTCAGGATTAGTTGCACCAACTATATTTTTTAATTGTATACAGTTTTAGGAAGAAGCCTCTGTCTCTTCTCTCATGCCACCATCTTTATTCCTGTCTCTCATAGATTTATTTTTAAGACAGTCCTAGGCATCATTTCATCCATATATATTTGAATTTTAACTATAGAATGACACAAAGTTTTTAGTCCATATTGTGGTTATATTAAGAAAATCCTTACTATTAATAAATATCTGTTCAGAGTTCAAATGTTCTAGTCCTTTCATACATCCATTTAAAATTTTATTTGATTAAGATCAAAATATGATCTATACATTGCCATCAGTTAATATTTCTTGAGTTTTTTTTTTTTTTAAACCCATTTATTCCATTTATTTTACCACTTCCTTTATTTCTGGGAAGAAGGTTGGGGAGAAACATTGTTGCAGGACTACCTTAAGGATATGAACATTAAAATACCTCAACCATATAAAGGGTTAACCAGTGCACATGAAAGTAATGCAGATCATAGACTAGAACCAGAGTAGAAAACTGTGCTACATACACCCCTCCGTGCCCGTGACCCAGCTTTAACAGTGCCTGCTTCATGGCCAGTCTTTATCTTTACCCTCACCCACATTCCTCCTTCCATATTGTTTGAAAGGAATCCCAGACATTATATCATCTATAAGCATTTCATCATGTAGCTCAAGATAATGGCACACAAATTATACCTAAAAAAATAACAACATATCCAATCAACCTCAAATTCCTATTGTCTTGCATGTCATTTGAAATGCATTTCTTGTAAACTGACAGTTGGATCTAGGTTTTTTCAGATTTGTGCTTGATTATTTTCTTCTAGTGAGGAAAGATTAGGTAGACGTGGTAGTATGTTCTAATGTTAGGAAGCACATAAAGCCATCAAAACTTAGTGCTTAGATAACAGGAATTACAAAATAATAGTCCTTCAGATCTAATGATCAGTCTTCATTTATTCAAAGTAAAAGTAATTTAGTGGGGATATATAAACAATATTCATCCTTTTTGTTTGGTTACCCAGACCAAATCTGACTTCCTACTTATTTTTATACAGCCTGTGAACTAAAGATGATTTTTATGTTTTTAAATGGCTAAAGAAATTTAAAAATATATTGTGACACGTGAAAATTAAATGAGAATAAAATTTGTGTCCATAAATACAGTTTTATCAGAATACAGCCATGCTTATCTGTTTATGTATTATCTGTGTCTGCTTTCATGCCACAGACCCAGAGTTGAATAGTTGTTAACAGATATATGGCTTGTAAAGCCCAAAATACTTACTTTCTGGCCCTTTATAGAAATGTTTACCTACCAACCCCTGATCTATGATTGTGGTTCTCAAAGTGTGGTCCGTAGGCTCCTCAGGGGTTCTTGAAACCCTTCCATTGACTCCATAAGGTCAAAACTAGTAATAATTAATTATGTTTTTCTTCCTATTTTGTTGATGTTTGAATTGATGGTGCCAAAACTGTGGCATGTAAAACTGCTGGTACCTTAAGAATCAAATCAGTACCAAACTGCAGTATAAGTCATTGTATTATTCAGTGCCACATGTTCTGGTAAAAATAATTTTCATTTGATATAAAGAGGATGCCCTTGCTAAATAAAGCTAATAATTTTATTGAATTAACCAACAAGTGCCATCTTTATTTATAATAATCTTTGTGATAAAATAGGGCTCATCTTTTCAAATACTTCATCTCAAATAACATTGTACTATAGATTGAGCAGAGGCATAAGTGAGTATATAGCTGTCTTTAAGTCAGTCTGGCAGTAAAACGATATGCATTACACAAACTCATTACTGAATTTTTTTTTTTTTAGTAACAGTTGCTTTCACATAGATTTTGTTTATATTAATATGTAATGATTTAATCAGTTATTTAAAAGTTTTCCCTCTTAATTAGAAGCACAAAGTATCACTAGATGTAAACCATATAAACCAAAGTCCTTTCGGGCTCCTTCAGTGATTCTTAAAAGAGTATAAAACAGTCCTAAAAACAGAAACAACTCATCCAGGGTAGCTGTTTCTCTTCATAAACCTGAAGATGATAAATTATGGCTTTCACTTTTTGTTGTCATTTTCAGATTGGCATGAGATCTTTTTTTAGGAACATCTCAAAAGTTCAGTATTATTGATGATGATTTTGATCATGGTAAAACGATCCATGTCCTTAGAATTAGCAGCCTCGATGTTTATAAGACAAGAGAAAACAAATTTTGAAAGAACACCTGATTTCCCTTTGAAAGAATTGTGTCTTCCAGGAAGATCACTGAAGGCCAATTGAAATAAAAAACTTTGATTTTCATATGAATTCCACATTCATTGACAGTTTTCAAACAGAACACTTCAGTACTTAATGATATGGGAGTACAAAAATCCAATACACAAAGAATAACCTGAAAAAGTGTGTAAGAATAGAAAGTGCTTGAAAGTAACATCACGTATAAAATTGGTAAGCAATGACTGAGTTAATCAAGGTTACAAGTAGGAAGGTGTTAGTGAAAATTTGAGACACATTTGTGGACTTTATTTTTTAGCGTTTTGCCAACTAACTGACAACTTTATTTCCCTGTGGTAATTGAGTCTTGGCATTTTTTAGTTGTTTGGGCGATGGGATTGAGCATTAAAAATAGAACTCCAGAGTACTCTGTTAGCATCATCTGCACATTAAATGAGAGAAGGTGAAAAGACTAGTCTCTGGCTGTTTTTTAGAAAATACTTGATTCTTTCCATTGGCCTTGTTAGGTGATTGCTCTGTTTGTCTTTATTTCCTTGCCCTTTTACTGTTACTTGGATTCCATTTATTCTGATACAGATGTTGAGAGGCATAGAACATTTTCGTTGAAGTCTGAGCATCATTGTTCATTAGGTTTTTATTATTGCAGAAAGGTTTTACTCACCATGTATTTATTTATGTAAATAAAGCAGGTATGTTACAGGTAACAACAGTTCATGCTAGTTTTATGGGTGTCATTTTTTTGTTTTAGCTTTTTAAAACCAATAAACTTGGTTCATTTAAAAAGAAAAAGTCAAAAGAAAAATACATAAATAACTGAGATCACTTTAAGGTAGCATAAATCCAGCTGATTTAATTTTCTTGAATTAGCAGCCTGTCTTAACCTTAGTATAGACGTAACCTTTAATTGGTATCCAAAAAAGATAAGCAGCCAGCTGCCACAAAGAGTCACACCTTACACCTAGTAATAATTTTCTTAAATGTTTTGAGTAATGATTTTTTTTTCCCTTTGAAGGCTCTAAGGCCCAGCAGCTTCTGCAAGGACTGCAAGCAAGTGATGAAAGTCAGCAACTCCAGGCAGTTATTGAAATGTGTCAGTTATTGGTCATGGGAAATGAGGAGACGTTAGGAGGGTTTCCTGTCAAGAGTGTCGTTCCAGCTTTGGTAAGATAGAATTTTCCTCTTGCTTTCCTCTGATTGCTGCTGTTGTCCTCTGAGTGCATTGTTACCTGAATTTTAAAACATTATAGACGTAAGAGACAGTAGAATGTGGATTTGATTTCATACTTAGAACTATAGTGAATGATTGTTACTGATGAATTCGTAAATTTTCTAAACCATTTTTGACGATGAGTTACTCCATCTTTGATAACTTTTAAATAACTCTTTTAAATTTTAAGTTGTTGCCCCATCAGGTAGTACCTTGCCAGACTTCATATGCTTTCTCTTTTAAACCCACAAGCAGCTCACTTGTGGGTTTTCTTTGTGGGCCATAAAGATTCTCGTGTTTGATAATTTTATGCATGTCAGAGTAGTCAAACCAGAACACATGGATCCTTGAAGCCTAAAAGGTTTTATGTTAAACAAAAACACAAACAAAAAAACAATACCCATTTAAAAATCTTTTAGTGATTTTTCAACAGAGTGGTGAGTTGATATTTAGAATTTATTAACATCTTAATTGTGTTAGCATTTAAATTGAAAACAACAGGGAGAGAAATTGCTATTACCGAATATAGGCTCTTCAGCATAATAATGTCTTTTAAATAGTAAATTGGTAATTTGTATGATGAAATAAATTGGCTATGAAAGACTAACATAAACATCATGATTACATTTATAGCATACTTTACCTAGGAGGTTAAATAAATGCCATTTAAGTCTTTGTTCACATACACAATAAAGTTGACAAAATGAAATTATGTTTGGTATATCAGATTGTCTGTTTTTTCACATTATCACATATGGAGAGAGTGAAGTGTTTAGGAGAGCTGAATTCAAATTCAGTGAATTAAAAAAAGATAATGAAGTCCTTATTCTGCCTGTTCTAGTTGGATGGCTCAGCTGTGGTGGTGAGTTGGTGGTGGGGGTGGAGGCAGGTGGTAAATGATAGGTTAGTTTCTTTGCCTTCTGCCACTCTACCTCCAGATAATGAAAACTAGCCTTCAGGGTTTACCAGTTCCACTGTAATCAAGACTTGAATGTTCATTTCTGAATGTTTTATGAAAGCAATACTAGCCTTTTGTACTTTTACATTTTGCCTGTGTTAATATTCATGCTCAAATTACTGATTTCTTCAATATATGGCTTCTGTTACCTGATAAAACTTTTTTTGATTATTCATTAAAAAGTAAGTAGGAACAAAAAACTAGGTTTATCTTACACTGTCTAAAATGCAGCCTTTATTAGTTAAATAAGGAAGCTTATTAAATCTAGGCAGAATGTTGACACAAATTAAGTTTACTAAATTTGCTGGTTGTTGATGGGATTTAAGTACTTAATAGACCTGTACAAGTCAGTTCATGCTGTTAATACTGACAGTTGTTAATGAGTTGACCAGATTTATCTTACCACAGTTGGATATTGTGAATATGTATCTGTCAGTCACCATTCACTTATGTGACCACAGTCACTTTTAGTGAAAGGGAGGGAATCTATATAGCAGGTCTCCTCAAACATGATCCTAAAAAGTTCATTCTACCTTAAGAATTGGAGAACTTGTCACTTTTCCTGTTAACATGACAACCCCTTTCAATTCAGAGTGGTGTTTTAAGTAACTGACCTTAGGTGATTTGAGACATTGAGGGCTGGTTAACCTTGAAACGGGAGAGAGAGAGAGAGGGTGGTGGTGGTGGTGGGGTGTGTGTGTGTGTGTGTGTGTGTGTGTCTGTATCTTGAAACGGTGTGTGTGTGTGAACCTTGAAACGGTGTGTGTGTGTGTGTGTGTGTGTGTGTGTGTGTGTGTTAGCAAAAATGTATACTTTATCCAGCACAATTCAGAGCTTAGAGGACACTTACTAAACAAGTATGTATTATTGTTATTGTAGTTTTAAACATTTGATTGAAGGGTACTTTATTGAATTCAGTGCATTTAAAAATTTCCACTAAAGTAGAAGACAGTGAATGATTGCTTCCCCAAGTAGGAAATTTCTCTGGGAGGAATTAAAATTTTTTTGATTATTCATTAAAAAATACTTGATTTCCCTATGCCTGCAGTTTTGCATTCCCTCTTTAGAAAAACATTGTCAAAATCTGCTTAAGGTTTTTCCACAAAAGAAACTGAAATAAAATCAGATGTTTAGACTCACTCATGTGTTTGTAGAACAATTGCATTAATTGGTTTTTAATTACTGCATAATGTGTCTCTAATATGATCAATATTGTGTTTGTATACTGTGTATTTTACAGCTGAGTTAAATGATACTTAGCTTTTCACTAGAGTTTAAGCTATGGTCTTGAATCTTACTGACAGTTTTTAATTTAACAAATGTCAGTCATTGCTGGTCTGTTCATTTATGTATCATATATTTATTGACACTGGTTAAGTCCTCAGTGACATGTTAATGGGCTTTTGGAAGGGACTTAGAGGTGCCCTAAGGGTTAATTGCAAGCAATAGGAAGCTTTGGTTTTGACCTGGATCATGAGGTGATGATTATCTAGCGAAGTTCTCAGGTAGCACTACAGTGTGTTGAGTAATGCCATCCTAAATAAGATCATTCTGTGTATATGTGTTAGGTTTAACTTGGTATTATTTTGCATGGGAAAAGTCTTGAATAATACTTACCATTTCAGTTGAAGTAGAGGAAGAAATATAAGGATACAGATAGCTTCTAATACTTTGTTATAATCTTTTTTTAACAGATAACATTACTGCAGATGGAGCATAATTTTGATATTGTAAGTATGTTGTATTTTTAAAAATCCTCTAAATTTTTTAGTTTTTATTGAGTAAAAGTGCCTCCTTGTTTTCTAGATGAACCATGCTTGTCGAGCCTTAACATACATGATGGAAGCACTTCCTCGATCATCTGCTGTTGTAGTAGACGCAATTCCTGTCTTTTTAGAAAAGGTGATTGTACTTTCGCTCAGCTTGTTCAAAAGTGAGAAGGCATACATAAGAAGAAAACAAATCCTACTATTTGCAACAACATGGATATAGCTAGAGGGTATTATGCTCAGTGAAATAAGCCAGGTGGAGAAAGACAAGTACCAAATGATTTCACTCATACGTGAAGTATAAGAACAAAGAAAAAACTGAAGGAACAAAACAGCAGCAGAAACACAGAACCCAAGAATGGACTAACAGTTATAAAAGGGAAAGGGACTGGGGAGGATGGGTGGGAAGGGAGGGATAAGGCGGGGGGTAAGAAAGGGGGCCTTATGATTAGCATGTATAATGTGGCGGGGGCATGGGGAGGGCTGTGCAACA